TGCAATAAATCAGAATTCAAAGAAGATGTGTAAGTATTTGCTAGAGTACTAAGCAGTCAATACTATCATGGAGCTTCTCATGGGACAGCAGAGCTACAAACCCCTTCCATAGTGCCTAAAACTGAACTCAGATTTTTGATGCCAAATCTATTTCACAAAGCATGGTAGCTTACTGCCTTAGATCTCTGGGTCAGTTATTTATGGTAGCAAATCTCCATAATGTCAGCCACGCTTAACATTATTTCTTACCTCATCCAAGACTCAGTGTTTTGGTGTATGGTCTTTGGTATGCTGCTTAGCTATTGCAAAATCCCAGTCATTTTTTTAAAACTCACTATTGCTTTATGATATATTTTGAAGTGTGTCTTGCCTATCGTTTTTAGATACTGTAGTGGTATCTACTTGCTATTTGTCTAGATGGTTCACTGTTGCAGGCTTAATTCCAGGAAGAATTTTTAAAAACCTGACAAGTGCAGGCTTTGAAGTACTGCTCACATAAACCAGCATTGCCTCAACAGCTCACAAAAGCATCCTGTTCCACCCAAAAGGAACAGGCAAGATAGTGCTGGCAGAAAATGATCTCTTAGTAGTTACGTTTTCTTCCCCCACAGCACTGAGTGTTTTTTCAGCCACCCTAAGAGGCCCATTGTAATAAATTGATTGAGTTTGAAAGCTTGTCCAATTTCGCTATAAATTCTCTAAGTGATTCTATTCTGTCTTAAAATGTTGTTTATTACTTCTAGCTCTACTATATGTTCCTCTGAATTTCAGGAAAAGCCATAGTCTGTGTTCCTGAAGCAAGAGGTCGAGATGCTTGGTAGCATTCCAAGGGAAATTGCTGGTGTTTCTGCAAACTTTCAATTTACTATTCAGAAAAATCAAATGAAATATTTTGTTTTGGAGCAGATTAAAAAAAATAAAACCCAAAACCAACCAAACAAACAAAGAAACAAATCCCTCCAGATTATTTCCCTGTGGTGACTCAAAGCATCAACTGAAACCATTGCTTAGTGAAAACATTGAAAAGACAAAAGAATTGGTTTAGATTAAATAAAAAAATGGGAAAAGGACAAAAATATCAAGTGACTCCCAGATTTGGTTAGACCCAGAATGAAACATCAATTTTTCTTTTCAGGTCTTGTAACTATTTTCAATAAGATTTTTGGTTTGCGTCAATTTTGAGGTGAAAATTATTTTAGAGTAAGTTGGGTTTTAAAACGTACCAAAAAAAAATTCCAGTGTTTCCTAACTGTAATATTTTAGTCCAAATATGTTAATTCATATTTTTTGCCCAGCTTTATCCAATCTATTCACCAATCTATTACTTTTTGGGGGGTTTTTTGGAGGGAATTTTTTTGTTTTGCTTTTGGAGCTGGGTTTTTTGTGTATGTCCTCAAATCACATTTTTGAGAAACTACTCTGTTTGTTTGTTTACTTTCTTGTTTGTTTGCCTGTTTGAGCAATTCATAATCTGTCAGATTTTGGTAGTTCAAGCAAAATCTCATCAAACTGGAGGAGAAAAATGCCATTCAAGTAAAAACTGTACTAGGATGTGTTCCACAGATTTAGTAATAAAGCATTCTTTTTCTAAGAGGTCTTTGAGATATTTGCATCTCTGGATATGCCGCAACTATTTCCTCAGGATAAGAAAAAGAGGGTGTTTTGTGGCTGATCATAATTTGTTTAATACTCATGAGACGTTTAGGTTGCAATTTTTCTCTTTTTGTTTATTTGCTGCCAAGCTTTTCCTTTGTTTTTCTCAGGTAGGTCAGGGCAGGAAGATGCTGCACTTCTCAAAAGATCAGAAGTCCCACTGCCTGGGGCCAGCTGTTAATAAAATATTCCTTTGATTTCTTTTTTTTCCTCCAGTCTCTTCCTCCCCCAGCACAGCAGATGAGTGTAAGTCCCTTTTCCCCTTACATTCAGCTATATGTCATCTTGAATTTAGTCTGAGATTTCAGTCAATTTGACTCTGAGGGAAGGGCTCCTGAGGCAGATATTTCCCTTTCCTTATTTCAAACCCTTGCCTGCAAATTAATTGTGCAGATTGAAGTTAGTTCATTTCTTTTGTTTGCATTGGCAACCCAACAATATGGAAGTAAACCTGAAGTTCACTGCTCTGAAAAAAACTTAATTTTTTCCTCTGCATGAACTGTTTAAAAGTTCCCAAAACACATGCTTTTGCTTTGCTTTTGCACTAAATAACACTAACTAGGTGAATAGCACTAAATTCTCCTCTTACTAGAAATCTCTTATTCTGATTAATAATAGTGAGTAAATATTTAAACTCGCTATAAATATTCTCCAGTAGTTATTTTTATGGCACCAGTAAATTAGAACCCTAAATGGAGACTGTACAAAGGTGTTAAACCCAAGCCTGTAGGTGAGCTAAGATAGAAATCATGTTGAAATTAATTTTGATGGTGGAACATTAAAAGCTTTTGAAAATTTTCAATAGCCCTGATGGCATCATAATTTAGTACATGCTTTCTCACATATATTCCAGTTTTTCCACCCCATCTGCCTCTTTTATTCTCAGCTGCTACCATGATAGGCCCTAAGGACAGCATAATCTTGTTAGCTGCAATGCCATAATCTGCTGCTAGCATAAGAGTGCAAGGCAAAAAAAAAAGACTCTGTGTATACAGCGCATATTAAAACATTCCCCTTCTCCTCCTCAGACTGGAGGCTTAGAGAAATTAAGAAAAATTGTTTTATTGTCTATAAATTATAAAAACTATTCTATTACAGTTAAGTGAATCTTACCATTATTCTTCATTTTTCTTAATAAAGAACCTTCTCCATTGCATTTCCCTACAGTTCTTGCCAGCTGGAAAAATCCTCTGTCAGAGAGGAGATTTTCCACCCAGTTTATTGCTGCAGCACAAGGAACCTGCTTCACATTGATCTAGAATTTCAGACAATGCATAATGGCTCTCTTAGAAGCTAATGCACGCACTCTACATGCTCCAAATAGGCTTCTGTTATGCTGGAGAGGAGACAAACACACTGGCATAAATAAATTGTAGCATGTTGTGACAATACTTCCCTTTCCAATCCAACAGCTGGAAGCAGAAAGGTTGACTGAAGATGAGAGGGGATCCCTCCAGTACAGGTTCCAGCATCCTTGGGAACCAGATGGACTGAAATGGAAAACAGAACTAAAACAGGCCACAAAATTCACTGCCAGAAGAGGTTTTCTTTTTATTCATGACAGTGCCAGGTTTTACTAGAAAGAAGTTTGCCATGTCATAGAAACTAAAGATAGGAATGAACTGGAATCACCTTTGTTCTCTCCCAACCAGTTCAGGATTGTTCCAGGTATATTTTCTAATTTTTGTGTAGTCTGATTTGTAAAGGCTCACAAAGTAAAGCTTTTTATCTGCCAATTTTAGGTTATTTCACCCCAACAGTTTTAGGAGAATTTTTCTTAAGCTTTCAGACTACATTTCCTTTCTTTTTCTCATTACTTTTAGTTTTATCATCTTGGACTCCCTGAGGCAGCTTTTCCCAGTGCCTGCTTTTTGTCATTTCATATTCTTCTGTGTATCTGCTATGTTTCTCTACAGTTGCCATGATATTTTTTGTAAGACCTCTTGTTAAATGTCATTTGCAGATGTCATTGCTGTTCTGTTTACTTCCCTCTTCCACTAATGAAGATGTGAAATAACACAGAACCGATCATTGCCCTTACTAGGTAGTTTCTGTCAGCCTCAGAGGCTGCTGTTTGTCTGTACTCTTCCTTTGTGGTCCTTCAGTTTGCATTCATTCCCCACGACAGTGCTCTTATCTAAGTCTTTCTGAATTAATTTTTCAAGCAGATTTTTCTGAGACACTGTAGGAAAGGTTTTGCTGATGTTTCAATCCAGCTTCATTGCTTCTGCTGTTTGCCCTTGTATAGTAGGGATTTTGGCCAGACAGAAAGCAACTGAGGAATAACAATGCATGCTGAGGTACCTCTTTTCCCACTTACAGTGTAACTTTCTGATCTGAGGGTTCTGCTCTGTAAACACTTGCTGCATTAATCACAGGCCCTCTCAAAAGCTAGGTTGTAACCAGCATTGATCATTCCTCAGAAAAGTTTCAAGGATTGCAATCAGATGTGTCAGGTGATTAACTTCTTACTAGGTGGAGTAAAATCTGCACTTTTACCTTTGCTATATATATATATATGCAGTAAGTATTAAGGGCCGGATTTCATCTCACACACATTGAGTAAAATGTTTTATAGTGGTGACAAAATTTTCTTTGTCTCAGCATAATCTTGATTTCAGGTCAGATAGAAATTAATTTAAACAGTGGGATTTTGGAATAAGCAGATCTCGATTCTATGTGAAGATGGCAGAAATTGAGTTATACTAGATAAATAGGGATTGTCTCTACCCTTTCCCTAGTAGACAGTGACTGGACAGATTATCCTCTTGGAGGCTGTAGCTTTTCCAAATAAGGAGTGGGAAAGGTCATTTCTGAGTGTTAAGAGGTTCCTTCTTTCTTTCTTTTTTGTAGGATATTTCTAATTCTCTTCTGAATTCTAATGACCTTTGGATGGAGCTAACCTCCATCATATGAATCACCTGTGTTGGTACATTTTGTAAGGAATAATCCTAATGCTAATCATGTCATAATGAAGTCAGACTTTATCAGTTAAGGAGACTACTAAAATACAAGATCCTTCTCTTGATCTTTTCTTTCCAGTTTCACTCCTCTTTGGCTACTTTAGCCTTCTTGCAAACCTGTATGACCTAGCAATTGTCTGTATGTCATCTCTGCATTTCTTCTTTGCAGCCTCAGGGGCTCAGGAAAATTTTACTTGGTGGCATCTTGAAACCTGAAGCTTCTTTTTAGTCAAATTCGTGTGTTAGCACAGGGTAAGGACTGTGCTTTCCACTGATAGATCTCAGCTCAGTTGTTTTAACTGCGGAATCAGCACATAGACAGGATGAGCACTGACTGGTATGTGACATGGGTTCTCTTGTTCTCTGCTCTGTGTTTTCCTTCAGGGGTTATCTTGCTGCTTCTCGATAAGTTACGGAAGATGAAATGGGAGCAGATGTGGAGACTCACAGCAGAGCGGGAGTTAATGAGCATGTTATCCACCTCACTGGCTGACCAGGTGAGTAGGACATTGCAGGAATGTTGTGTAACCACTAGTCCATGGATTGAGGAAGGAAAGAAAGGGAGAGGGGATGAGATGGGGGAAAAGGCAGGGGAAAGATATTGTGCCTGTAGTCACCATTTGTTGAATCATTCTGGGGAAAAAGTGAAAGAGAGGAATGGAGATTTACTGACGAGGTTTCTCTTACTCCACTGATATTTTTACCATCTCTGCTCAGATGATTCATAAGAGAGACAAAATAAGGTTTTCATGCATTAATTTTCTGTTCTTTGTTCTTTACCATAGAACTCTCCAGACACTTGAAGTCCAAATATACTGTCTTTTTCCAGTGGTTATTGTCTAATCAGCCTTTAGTTTTAAAAGTCTCCAGACATTTCATTACTGTTTCTAGCATATGAGTCCCAGATGTCTTTGAGTGTACTTCTTACCACAACACCCCTGTAAAGACAAAAGCGCTGATGTCTCCCTGCCACAGATGGGAAACTGAGGCCAGGAGAAGAAATAGTGTGCCTATACACAGAAATGTGTAGTTAATCAATCTGTGCTTCCTGACAGCTCTCAGTTTAAACCCAGAAACCCTGTTAATGTAATACTACACCTGAACCAGTAATTCTTGCTCAACAGCTTGAGCAAGTGTTAATGCAATACAGTATCTTATTTAGATGTGTCTTCTGCTTCTGAGCTACATCTGGTATATGACCAGTCACCACAAAGGAAGCGTGCTGCTTACTGTGCCCGTAGAGATGTGCACTGTGTACAGCATCTTTGCAGGTTGATCCAAAAGCTACTGAAGTTCATTAAAATTATTCTTGCAACTTCACTGTGTTTTCAGTAAGGTCCTGAGTCCTAATACCTGCACAGGGCAGAATTTTACAGAGTGGAGAAAGGTTGCTTATGTCTTACTATAATACCTTAACCACAGACTGTTCTTGTAACTTAGTTCTCCAACTGAATGGCTGCTTAGAGACAGAACACTTTCAGTCCCTCATGCTGTAGGCTGTTCTGAAGATCTGTTCTACGTGCCTTTTCCATGAAATACCTCGAGTGCTTGGTTGCAACAATAAAGTGCTAGCTAGAATCCCACCTAGTAATTCACCTTGAAACAGCGTATCTTCCAGAATCACATTCATCCCCTTCATTGAAAAGTGATGTGGTACTTACTAACAGCAGGTATTTTGTCATTTACTGACTGTTACTCTCTCTGGTGACTAGAAGAGGAACCACACCTCATGCCAGCAGTACAAGATAAATGTTTGAACACTTTACTGGAGTCCCTTAGCTCTGTATGTCAAGAGAGACTGTTCCTCCTGTCCAGAGCAACATATTGTCCCTTAGAGTAATAGCACCCTCCGTGGAAACAAAATTACAAAGCAGGGTTTGCAAAGTTCACCTGGCATCACCATCTGAATTTCTACCTGTGAGAGGGAGAAGGACAGTCAGCTTGGGGAGGTGTTGAGACCACCTCACTGTAGAAACAACATACCCAACTGTTTCTCTGGGTTTTTTTCTGCTAGGATATCTTCAATGCAGTCATCAAACAAAATCCCTTCCTTGTCTACCAGCTCCCATGTTTCTGGAATGTGCAGCTTTCTGATCACACACGTTCCGAGCAGTGCTACAGAGATGTGTCTGACCTGAAGGTAGGTTTCACAGGAGGCTGGGTGGGTGGTATCATTTGGGACAGAGAATGCGAGACTCCACTGTCTGAGAAGGATGAAGTGCCTCAAGTAGGGGGGAAATGAACACATAAAGTTCTTAGGGACACCCAAGCAGGGGAAAGAAATGTGACTTTGACTTTGTGCATTTTGACTACTAGAAAAATCAAAGATGGATCCTGCTTTGGGGTTTGGCAAGGTGTTAAAGTGCTTCACCTTCTTACATTCTGTATCTGTCCCCTATGCCACTGCACCTTACTGCTGAGCTCCTATTGCTGTCCAAGTTCTTAGCTCTTCCTAGATAAAGAATACAAACCCTTTTCTTTTGTACTGGAAGTTTGAAACTCTTTAGTCAGCATCATTTATTAGAGTGAAATTCACAGAGAGCATTGGGTGGACCCTAGCTAGAAATACATTAGCAGAAATGTAAAGACCTTGCACACTTCATATTTAGCCTTTGCATACACTTAACCCAGTCACGTTGACACTCATTTTCCAGGATTTGCCCTGAAAAAAAAGGATGAGCAGAAACCTAGTAATTTAATAAAATGAAGCTATAGTGTCAGTTTAATAGCACGTTTTTCCTTATTAACAAGTAAAATATAAAAGCAGGATGGATTTCAACAGATAGGGGTAAATTAACATCAGTTGTGCTGTGGTCCAAAAGACCAGATTCAAATGTAGCATGCAGAGAGTTCAGAATTGAAGCTTAATTGAGCTTTTTCCACATGTAGAATAAGACTATGCAGCAATAGATTTCACCACAGCAGACATTAGTGGCATCAGAATGTTAGTAAATAATAATAGGTATGTTTTGGTGATTCATTTTAAAATTTAGTTAAACTTTGAATACTTAATTTATATTTTGAGAATGCTTTAGTAAATGAGGTTTAAAAAAAAGAAAAAGAAAAACACAGAACTATGAAAGAGGTTGCAAGGGATGTCTGAGACCTTCCAAACCCCACTCAGAGCAAGACCAACTTAATTGAGGTTGCTCAGTGCCTTTTGCACTGAGTGTCAACTCTCCAAACACTGAGATTCCACAAGCTACCTGGCGCCATGTTCCAGAGTTTAGCCACCCTCATGGTACAATATATTTCCTAAATCTAACCAAGTTCTCCCTTGGAGCAATTTGTAGAGTAACAGCAGGAATGTTCAATATGAATACCAGATACTGGATGAAAATAGAAAATCAGTCACTCTCAACACACTGATTTCAAAAGCTGCGCTTCCGAGAGAGAAGTTCTGCTACATGGGTTAACTGACCTGTCAGAATTGGCCAGCATTGCTTGAATTTCATACATAAAGTATTCACAACTGACTGTTCAGGTGTGATCCACAGACTACAGCTTTTAAAGTAGACTTGTCAGTATACTAATCACTAAATGGTTTATGATCTGTGTTTAGGACAGGATCAGCAAGGCACTTAAAAGCATCACAGTTTTATGCCTTGTAACAAAGTGCTTAGTGGAGACTTTGGTTCTTTGTTCATGCTGAGAATCATGTGTGACAGCAATTGCAGGGCCTGAAGTGAACAGAAAGGTGTGGTAGCAGGGAAAATATTTCCTAAAAGATGAACTTCAGAAAAATATACTTCTGCCCGTGAGATATCACAGTATTTTTCTGTGAATTAGAGGCTGAGATTAATTCATATACTCCATTGAGTCAGTCAGATTGTGCTCAGCACAAGGTTAAGACACACATTTACATGAGGAGAAGATATTGAAGCTAATAACTGAGGATCTAGGGATTGGTTCTGTTGCCTGAACACAGTCTGAGTTACTGTAGGTGCTCTCCGATACCCACATAGGACTGGCAGATGAAACACAGATCTACAGGAGAGGATACCCTCTTGGCAAGGCAGCTGATGGGCAGGCAGGATAACCATAAGGTGCTTTCAGTGTTGCTGTACATCTATATTTAGACAGCTAAACTGGGATTCCCATGAGTGGGTTTGGAGACTGGTGAAGCTCACCTCAAAATAGTCATCAGATGACTAATCAGGAAAATCACTCTTCAGACTCCAGTGACTGCATTAACTAATCTGCTTCAGGTGTGGGACATCTAGCTCATATGTAACACCCACGAGTAAGCATTTGATAGAAGTATCTTCAAGATAAATTATATCCCTTCCTCATTGTCGATTAACAAATTTATGTTTACAACTATAATTTAGGTTTGGGTGTTTATTACTGTATACTGTATCACACTGTCAGTTCCATTAGAGCATAAGCAGTGAAGTCTAAGATGTGTAATATTCTCCATTGATTTTCTGGTCTGAGGTATTTAACTCAGTAAGGGATGCAGACACATAAGCAATTTCTTCAACTGAACTGGACTTATTCACATTGCTAAAATCATCCCCTAAATACTTCATCAGGACTGAAATTCTTTGCTTTGAAAGAGAGGCCAGAGCCTTATCTAATGCACATTAGCCCCATGGTTTCAATAAAGCTCTTCCCATATTGAGCAGTTAAAGAACTTGCCCTCAGGCAGCAGTGTTTAAAATTCTTCATACAATTTAAAAAATGAAAAAGCACAGACCAGTTAAAGTTGTGAATTTGCATGATGAAAATTATCAAAATTCTAGTTCTGTAAAGAAACTGGCTGTTTTGGTATATGAGCCTCCCAAAAAAACTTCAACAAATGTCATTAGCCAAAGTTAGAAAATATACTCTTAAAATCCCCAAAGTTAGTCAGTTCCATGACATTTAATATAAATGGTATGACACAATATATTTGGCACATTCCACCTTTCATGGTAAGACTGGAATAGAAAATGAAGGAAAAGAAACCTCAAGGGTAAGAGTGAGAGAAAGACAGATTGTGAAATTTGTGCTGGAGGATCGAGAAGGATAGCATAGGAAAGAAGGAAATGCATGGAGAGATTTAAATTCCAAGGTAAAGCTGGCCCAGTCAAGTATTCCTCAGCCAAATAAGAGTCCATTCCTACTATCAGACTGAAAGAGCATTGATTTAATTACATCTGGTTTAAAGTTGATGGGAGATGAGGATTTGTCGTCTCTTACACAAAAACTTGTGTCAAGTGAACTTGGATGCCCAGGACTGACTGATGTTCATAGATGGGGGGGAGGTGATATAAACACTTCTTTGCTGCTTTGTTCACACTCATGCACAGCTTTTACAGGCTTGGGGAGCAGTTGAATATTTTATATTGCCTGAAGAGGATTCTAATTCTTTTTTTTCTCTTTTTAGTTCTCATTAAGTTTCGTCTCTATCCTTTTTATTGATTTGGGTTTTTTTGGTACTGTCTAATGTTAGAGAAGGTCAAATGTTTGACTGCTGCTGAACTCTACTTCCTTGCTGCAGCTGAGCAGCATCTGCAAATTTGAAAGGACTTGTATATGGGATTCTTTTGGAAGAGGTATAAGAATAGAAATATTGATAACCAAGTTCTGCATTGTTAGTTACCATTAATTTTATAGCTATCTAAAATAACATCATAATAAGACTAATTTATTAATTTTATTCATCTAAATAGTTACTTAACTCCTGTGTCATACTCTACAGTGCTAGAGGCCACACTGCACAACTAGACTGAAGTCTGTGGGCTTTGTTATGTCAACAGTCATACTTACAGAAATTTTCCTTTTCCCAAAGGCACCTGTATTCAGCATGCTTAGATCAGTCAAGAATATCTTAAAATGAACAATTTTAATAGAAAACAAAGAGTGGACTAAGAGAAAGCAGATGCTCTTTAATTCTTTTTGCCAAATGAGTCAGCTGCAGTCTCTAAAGGCCAGAGATGTTTCTTTCTGCATGGCATTTTTTTACACCTTGGAAAAACACTCAGGAGTTGCTATTGAAGACTGGCCAAAAGATGTGGAAGTGCTAATCGTCATTCTATGTAGACATCCAATGTCTATCTTGCTCATCTCATCTCCTCACACAGTCCCCACATTGTCAGTAGACAAGTATGTGTGCTGTGGACCATGCCTTGCTGAGCTTTAGAGCCTTTGGGGAATCCGCCTGGAACTGAACTTCATTTATTTTTGTTGTGCTTTTGCTGGATTAGGCCCTGTGTTTGCTTAATTTTGCTTAATAGTTTGTTCCTGTATGTGAGGAAATCTCAGTTACTATGATTTGGCACAAACCAAATGGCAGAAAAAACCCTATGAAAGAAGGTAATGAATTGTGATGCCTCTGACAATGAATCATGACCTCATTGAATGGGTCAGTCATGAAGTCTGGTTGTCAAGGATACAGATGCTATTTACACACAGCGAATCTGTTCATTCACAATCACAAAAATCAGATGCTGAACTCTTTAATGGGAATGTATCAAATTACTAGAATTTTCCCCACAGTCTCCAATATAGAGAAATGCTTTAGAACCTACTGATGGCTTTTCAAACTGATTCTAATACTAAACTAGCTAGTAGTAAACCAGCAGATAGATAAATAATGAACCTCATAAATTGCCCATTGGGAAATTGTGTTCTGTGATTCACTGTGTCCTCCCTGAGAATGTCCTCCACGTTGGGATGACTCTGCAATACTGCTTACAAAACTTTGAACAGCTTCTTGTCCATAACTGTAATAAATCATTTCAAATCTGCCCCAAACATGACCTATTGCACCGCTTTCTGTTCCAGTCCCTGAGCCACCCCATGCTGTTCAAACACCTCAGCAGTGATCTGCAGCAAATCTGGCATTTTGCAGCCTTGCACCTTTTAATACCAACAAAGGAAGAGCTACACTGAGGGGAGTAAGGGCTCAAGAGAGTTAAACATACCCCTCCTTTAAATGAGCAGTGGAGTCAGTAAGGTGCTTCCACCTTGCCAAACAGGGAGCATCATGGTTTTATTAGTGGTGTTTTTGCAGGCAAGAGGCCTCATTAAACACTGGTACAGGAGTTGAAGGAAGAGAAGTTGAAGAATCCTTTTGAGAGCAAAGTGAGAACTTTGAAAAGTGCAAGTCAGGGACAGTCTGTCAGCTTACTGCCATACAGCAGTGGCAGGAAGCTGGGGAGTAAAGTAATCCCTGGGACCATGGGCACTAAATCAGGCAGGGCAGGGATTTGAATCCCTCATCCAAAAAGCAGTGTCTGGACTTCTGGGTTGCCGGCTACTCCAACCTGAGTCTCTTCCACTCATGTAGTTCAGAAGTGTCACTCTGAAACCTCCCTGATAACTTTTTTATGAAGAATACAAACCTTTCTGAGGAAATTGGTTCTTTTATTAAACCATTCATTTCTGATAAAACACAGTTTAAAGTTTCCAGACAAGTATAATTGAGGCATAAGTTACACATGTGGTGCATGTTTGCAGTGTGATTTGGGGCATATTTAAACTTTTCAATAATGTGTGCCTGTAAAAAAGCTGATTGAGATGGCATTAAAGTGACATATATAGATGGCTTTGCTGTGCATATTTGCTGAACGTTTAACTCCTGTTGATTTCAATGGGAAGTGTCTGGTTGCCTAAGCAAGGAGTCTAAGTTTTCAAGCAGGAAAGCTCCCTGTTTACAAAATACCACTTATTTACCTAAATTGTGAAGTGCTCATGGGCTTAATTAAGCATATCTATTCAGTGCTTTGCAAAATTAAAATTCTTTAGGCTGAAATTTAGGCTTAATTTATTCTTATTTCTTGCTCTTCAGTCTGGGAAGAAGGTATATAGTTATACAGGATATCCTGTGCTCTCTAATTTTGTAAGGGCTGAAGCAAAGTGAGAAATTACCAAGATGTGTCTTTGGGTAAAAAAATGACTAAGGAAACATTTGGCTAAATACTTCTTTTTGAGAGAGAAAATACTTCAGGGGAAAAAAATGGTTAAAGGTATCTATAGAAATAATGTTGTATTCAAGTGTATGTAATGTTGTATTCACTTACGGTTTAGTGATTTGTACATCAGGTTTGAAATATTTAATCTCCTCAGAGAGGACAATGCAGATGGTAGTGTAAGGAGGTTTAGGATTTTTGTTTGCAGTGTATTTCTGTTCAGATAACTGACCTTAGAGCCCTCCTACACCCCACCAGCATGTAACATCCTCTCTTACCTTCCATCTCAGACCCCGTTGCCAGTCCACGAGGCTCCAGCTGTTTCAATGTTTACGTGCTTTGGTTCAGAACCTGGTGAATAAATGGGAGCTATTGGCGCAGTTAGCTTGTTTCACCAGGCCACAAGCGTATGGAAGTGTTCCAGGAGGATGGCTGTGTGTAATCAGTGAGTGGTAACGGTTGCTGATTAACTAGGATGGTATTAACGGAAATGTAGATAGTGCCAAGTTGTTTAATGACAACTAACCAAGTGTTAAATAGATGTGGAATTTTAAGTTCTGATCTCTCAGTACTTAAATTGCTAAATGAAGATTAAGGAAGTGTATTTTTTATTAGTTCTCAGGAGGCTGTGATCAAGAGTGGGAAGGATCCGTAGGTCAACCTGAAGGCTAGCATTTTTCCTGAGGTGTCTATCCAGCTAATGGCACTGGAATTTTATATTTCTAGCTGTAGTTTTCTCTGTAAGCCAACAGAGCTTTGGAATAGCTTAGAAACTAGGAGGGAAAACATAAGGAGAAGTAAATGCAGTATTATGGTGCTATTCAGCCTTGGAAAAGGGATATTGTAGTAATGAGATTTTTTAGTTTCTAGATTCACTTTCTCTTTTTAATGTGGAGATAACATTTTCTCAGTCTGCTAATAAAGTGACTTTTTTTTATTTCTGATTTCCCTATAGTCCCTATTGCCAACTGTTCTTTTTTTCTCCAATCAATTTACTGTTGTGCATGATAAACTTTTAAATGCAGTGGCCATAGCTTTACCTGTGCAGCCCATTGCCTTTTTCATGTACCTCACTCATACCTGTGACAGGCTATACAAGAATGTCTTGGCCTGCACAATTTCTGCTGTAGCTGGTGGTGCAACAGACCATATCAGACAGTCAGAACTGGAGGTGAGTTTGTGGGCTGACTGCATAAAAAGAACATGGTCTTTGGATGTAGTGTTGTATATCAATGCTTTAGGGTCTTGTTGCTTTTTGTAACCTGCTGTTCTTTTTTATGCTTTCATATCTCACGTAGTATTTCTCTAATTGCGTTACATTTGAAAAGCAACCTGGTTTTTTGCCTGACTTGTTTTGTGGTTTTCCTACGTCAGGTCATCCAGATGGTTGCATAGTTCCTTGATGTTCTTTAACACATCATCTTTAACATATATTGGCATGTGCTGTCTTTCTTGATTAAAAAATCAGCTTTTTTGGATAGTCATCAGCTCCATTCAGAGCTACAGTTCACTTCAGGTTCCCCTGACATCAGTATACATGCAGCATCCTGACACGCTTCAAATCTGATCAGATGTGAACCCCCAGCTAAACCCTGGACACTTACCAGCTTCTACACACAACAGATTTTGAAACACGGCAGCAAAGAGCCTCTGCACTGACAACTGCAGTTGTCTGGGTTTGAAATCATCTCCCACACAACTGGGTAGGGACATCAACAAATGCCTAGCTCTGATGTGACACAGTGTATGTTGACAGGAAATTCCTGCAGCATCGGGGAGCCTGTCCTGTAAGAGTTACTGAGGTTATCATCATTAGCCATATCTTTACTCACTGTCTCCAGGTCTCAGGGTGGTCAGAGTGCTCAGCAGGGTGAAGATGTTCAAAAGGAAACTCACATGATGTGTAGGAGCAATATGGAGAGCACACAAGAGATTTTTCTTAACAAGTATTTTTTTCCCATTTGACAACTTCTTAGCTTCCTTTGATCTACTCTTAAATAAGTACAAGTTACCAGCAGACAATTTCCATTCTATGCCTGTGTGTAAATATGCATATTGGTACCCTGTAAAACTGCTTACCAACCCTTTAGGATCCTTCAGCCCTGTACTTCTCTTATGTGTGCCCATTTCCCTGAGGCAAGATTCAGTTGTTGAGGGGTTTTTCCAAGCATTAATGCCTTTTAGTGCAGTTAAATACAATGGATGAAAAAGGAGATTTTGAAGATCCATTTTTCAAAGGAGAAAATCTGTCATTTTAAGTTTACGCCCTTACCTAAGTAAAGCTCCTTTCATTTCTGTGGTCTTCTGTATTTTCACCACACATTGCAGCAACATGTTACCTCACAGTTATACTACACCTCTGAACATATGGACAAATGTAAAACCAGCAAAGAATGTGGTATTGCTGGGAACAAATACCTACAGCAAGTATTTTTGTCCCAATAATTTCCCAAATTTATGCAGCATGTAGATATATCATAATCTTTGTTTAAAGTGTTCCTGTAACTGGAAAAAACAAATTGCCAATTTCAGAAATTATCTTTTTTTCTCTACAGTTACTTTACTTTAACTGCCTGTATGTTTTCTGACATCCTAGTAACCTCAGCAGTGAAATCCCAGGAAAGAATGAAGTTTTTCTTATCAAGAGATGTTTTCGTTGGTGTTGGGTATGAAGAGAAGAGTGCCATAGCTTTTATGGCACTGTAAATACTCAGTGGAGCGACTTTGTTGTTTGCTGAAGTCAGTATAGGAAAGTTCAGGCTGCATCCTGCTCTTTCCTCCTCCAGTCCGCTCACTGGGCAACAAATGCCATGACTTTAGAGAGCTCTCTGTTCCTGAGGAGTTGTGTTGCTGACACCAAGGGCATTCATCTTCCTTGGGCTGCTTCTGTTCTACGTGCTGTGCTTCTGCTCTGTGTATTCCCTCCCACAAATGTGATGTTCAGAGCAAAGCTGGCCAGCTTGGCAGCTGGCACTGCAGCTCTGTGGCTCTGTGTGACACAGTGCCTTCACACAATTAACTTAATGCATTCAGAGAACCTCCAGAACTCCTAACTTGGAAATACTCCCAAGGGAGACTTTTTTTTCTAATCTCTTTAGAAGTCACAGGAATAGAAGTGAATACAAAGTATTTGGTGATTTTTTTTCTTATGTCTAAAATATAGCCTCTATAAAATGAAATCGTTCCTTCAAGCCCCTTCTGGCTCCCTCTTAGTTTTTCTTTAGGGCCCCATTCTCGTTCACATTGGCACCAATGCAAAGTTGCCTCAATGTAAATGAGGATCAGACCCTTTATGTCAGCATTACAGTTTAAATCTAGACCAGTGTGAGCATCTTCCATTAGGAGAGTATAAATACCTGCTAGAAATTGGAATTCAAAGGGTGAAGCATTGTACTGCATCGCTATGTTGTGTTAACGCAACAGAGATCAGTCTTGTTTAAACGAAGCAGTGGCAAAAAGGAAGTCAGATTAGATTCAGTCCTTTTTGAACTATTTAAATTGGTATAGGAATTAGTTTCAAGCTTTTTCTTCTCAATAACTAACCAGAGAGGAGTCTGCCTGGCCTCAAACAGTGAATCAATTTCATTAGCAGAAACAGTCATGTGGAAATGTGAGATTAATGTTTAATACCTACATCCCTATGTCCCTTGTCCTTCCGTCTTGTTCAGCAGAATCCATAACCCAGCAGCTCCGTGATTAGAGTTGTGGAAGCATTTATGAGATGTTGCTTCACAAACTATAGCAGTACCCTCACTCACATGTGCAGGTGATTCCATGGAGGAGTTTCAAAAGCATATCACCTCTGGAGTATGCAGTTACTTGTGAAAGACATGGCAAAGCTTTCCTTGTAAAAAGGCAGAAGGAAGTCTGTAGTTTGTGGGTTGTTTTTCTTCTGTTTTTAGGAGGGCAGCAAACTGAACACACATAAAAAGAGCATGTAAAGCAAATCTGTATTCTAACAGCAGAATGTCTTTTCTCTTTTCTCCCTCTGAGGTGATTCACTGGAACTCACCAAAGAAGCTCCGAGTGAAAAACAAGCATGTGGAGTTTTTCCGCAACCTCTACCTGACATTCCTGGAATACGATGGGAATTTGCTGAGACGGGAACTCTTTGGCTGCCCCAGTGAGGCAGACATTAACAGTGAAAATGTAAGTAGTCTGTCTAGGGCTTTACTATATAAAGGGTGGTTCAAGCAAGGCACAAGCTGTGTGAAGGCTTGGAGTTGGTGGTGCACGTAGTGCAGAATGGAGGAACTCAGGAGAACTGAAGGCAATGCTCAGATTCCAGGAGTGACACTGTGCAAATCATTTAATCTTTCTGTGCCTCAGTTCCTCACCTGTAAAACTGTTGTACTAATCTCGTCTTTACCCTGAGTTTTGCTGCTTCCTTTAGACTACTTTGCCTTTTAAAAACCTCCAACAAAGGTAACATCACAAGCTGAAAATGAGTATTTGGGCTCTTATTACATTAGGCAATTCTGCAAATCTTAACCTTAGACCTGGTTCTGGTTTCAACTGGGGTAGAGTTCATTTTTTATCTTAGTAGCTGGTACAGTGATTCAGTATGACAGACCTAAAACTTTCTGGGAGAAGGTCTTCTTGCTGTGTGTTTGTTCAGTATACAGTGATGTCAGTTTTGGGTAGTAGATACTAATGCACAAATAATGAAGAAGAAATGAACGTACCAAGACTGCTGGATTTAGGTCTATGAGTCCTTGCCATGCTGCAGACTACAGAATGAGTGAGTACTTCAAGGTACACGTAGGCTCTGAGACTGCAGGTTTTTTCTGTACTTCCCTTGACTAGACAAAGTGGTATTTATGTGTATCTGCATAAAATTTGCAATCAGAACCTTTCAGATGAAGCAAATCCTTTGAAAATGGTTGAAATCAAGGATGTTTAGACACAGATGTTGTGTGTGTATGCCTTAGTACATATAATTCTAAAGTAAAAACTTCATGGAAATGTTTATACACAGATGTATATGAACTCCTTGTGTATAATGTGGTCTCTGGAGATTTCTAGACCAAGTACCAATTTTGACTACATAGTCTGAAAGGGAATAAAAAGGAATATGTAACATTTTATTCAGGAAAGAATATTTCTAAAATATACAATGTTGTCTATATAGAAATCAATTAAGCAAAGCCAGGATCACATACATGTTAGCAGTTAAGAGGTAATTGGCAATCAATATCATCATTGGGGCTGGTAGTGTTTCCATTTAGCCTGTGAATCAAATTTACCACAGGAGATACCATTCCCATAGTTTTAAATAAAGCACTCAAAGATTGGGTAGATATATTTTAGCCCAAGGCACAGCTTCCCAGATACATATTTTACCATACCACTGTCTTCTGAAAGAAGTGGGGATTAAGTGGGAGAGACGAGAAGTGGGGGAAAAATGAGAGAAAGGGAAAGCAAGTACACCACAAGAGCAAAAGCACATGGAAGAAGAAAATCCTCTGCAAGAGTGAGAGGCTTTTAGACAATCAATTAACTGATTGCAATAAAAGACCATCAGAGACATCAAGATAAAAGAAACAGAGTAAGGGGTAAAATAAGAGGAGAAAAGGTGAGTGGGACATTAAAAAAAGACAACAGAACAAAACACACCTTCATCACACTTAAGAATGCAGGTTAAAATTATATTGATTTCACAATATGTTGTGTGGGTTCGAAGAGCATGAACGCAGTCACAGATTTCTTGCTATATTTTCCAGAGCTCTGTAAATCCTTAATAAACAGATTTATTCCAGATGACAAGTTGCTGGGGAGCAGTGCACAGCAAATGCAAGTTCTTGCTGTAAGTGGCAGTCCTTAAAGTTTTAAATGTCTCATTTAACTGAACTTGTATCTAGTTGACAGACACTGGAAATGACTAACTGTTTCTTATTCAAGACAAGTAGAACGCAATATGGTATATGGTATGGCTTGCATCTGAAAAAGAAACATAATTCATTCCTCCATTTATAAATTATTAAAAAAAAAAAGGAAAAGAATGAGCTACACATATAAAAATACATGAGTCCCAACTTACCAAGAGACACCAAAAAGTTAACAGTTTTCTATCAAAACAATCAGATATAGAAAAAAATCCAACTTCAGAAAGGTTAAGAGTAGTCACTTAGGAGAAGGCATTGGTTTTTTTAGTTCCCCTTGATGTAAGCTCCTGTTTCAACTTGATTATGTCCTTTTTATTGTAAAATACAGACAGCAAGTTTCAAGTTTGAAGTTATAGAACCTGAAGAATAGGATTATCATGAAAACCACTCTTTCTCTCACTCTGCCTGCTGTAGCATATACAGTGCCACAGGTGTCCTATTAAATACAGCACATTCCCGTGATCTATTGCAGCATGATCTTCAGAAGCAGAGCATCTTGTAAGGTGAGCAGGGAACCACTGTCATTCCTCCCAGTACAAGAAATAGGGGACATGAAGTGGAAATAGCAAGTAGCAGGTTCAGAACAAAGATAGACATTTCACTCACGATGTGATGAAGCTTTGAGCAGGAGGTAATGTTTCTAAAAGTATACGTATGCTCAAAAATGACTCTTTTTGGAAAGAAAATCAATCAGGAGCTGTTAAGCTTTGGTGCAGAAAGTCCTTGAACCACAAGTTCAGGTCTAGGGGAGTGTTTTGAGAAAGCCTTGCTGTACACTTGCCATGCTTTTACACTCCTCTCTAGGCAGCCAGCTCACAGCTGGAGACAGGGTGCTTGGGTAGATGAACATTTAGTCTGACAAGGTGTAGCCATACCTTTCTGTTAGGATTCATAAGCAAGTAAGTTACATAAAAGGCTATAATTTCTATTAAGTATATATGAGGTAGGAATTACTATTTGCATTATCTTTTTTTTTTCCCTGTTAGTTTTCTTTTCTTCTCTGAATTGAGACTTGAGACTGGCATCCCCAAAACACAGCTCTACTTTACTACATTAGGCAATGAACACAGGTAAAAGATGGCTCCTTCAGCTGCCTGTGCTTCTCTGCCAGTGCCTGTGCTTCTTCTGACCAGTGGACAAAATGTTAGAACAGCTCTGTTGGTTTTATACTTGGAGATAATTATTTTAGCACTAAATGCACTGAGCCCTGTTATGGAAGAAGAGGTGGCTTGGTGTGAGCCTCACTCACAGTCTGGGTGTATCAGAAGCTACCTTTAAGGTCTTGTTCCAATATACCACCTGTTGCTTCTCTACAGTTTAATATTTGCAGTGATGTTTTATTTACAATTCAACCTGTAATTAAGGCATCTCATTTGTAGTGCAAATATTTGTAAAACGTGAAAAGGAAGTGTGGCAGTGGGTACTGCTGGGCTGGTTCTGTTTCTCTAAGGCCCCTTTATGCTTCTCATCAGTACTGAGATGGCCTTAAAATGAATGTAAATTATGTATCTTCCCTTGTTAAGGACTCTTTACAGTGCTAGAGAGATGTAAAGGGGCAGTAGTTTAAAAGGTAATTGGACCTCACTTTAATCTCTCTCACTCTTCCTCTGTGTATGCATGTGAATGCATGTATGCTTAAATATATACTTTGTCTATATGTATGTGGAAGGATTAGTACTTTTTTTTTTTCTAATATTTGCTAAAAAGTCTAATACCACAGAGTGGATTTCAAGAGGTCTGAAGGCAGTCTTTGGGTATTGTACTGCACAGTCCTGGTCTAGTCAGATGTTGATCTTCAGCTGCACCAAACAGGGCTGTTACTAGGTTCCAAAGCATTGCAAAGGAGAATGAATAGAACAGATAGGGCTCTGAAACTGAAATACTGGAGGCAAAATAATACAGACTGATGTAGTTTTTCTGTTTATGTAAAAATGTTTATATGTATGTCTATATGTCCATGCATGCTTCGTCCTCTCCTTGAAATATTCAAGCTAAAAGACCCTATGGGTTGCTGTGAGCAGGAGCCTGCCATGTGCTCCTTGCCACAATCAGTAGTGTAAGTCCACCTTATTCAGTATGTGCTAAAATGGGATTACCCAGAGCAGACTCTTCTGTGCAAGTTGGTATTACAATCATCCCTTTGTCTTTTGTGCAGATTCTGGGTGGAAAATTCAGAATATGAACCAAATCCTCCTGTAAACAGAATCATTGACTCAAGTGGCCCTTGGATCATGTCCTTAGTCACTCCATCCTACTTATTCCATGCTGTTTCCCCCTTCTCACTCCTACTTTCTTATTTTGATGCAATGCAGAAGATTTTTGCGAAATCCACAAAGTTTACAATAATCTCAAATTTGAACATTTTCTATTGGCTTTTAGTGCTTATATCCAGCATTTTATTCTAAAGGACCTACTGTAAAGCCTAAAATATTTCAGCTGGATCTTCCAACCTATCTCTATAGTTTTACCCTGAGATAGATATCGTAAGCCTGATTTTAGCACAGAGGCACACACTCAACCTTTTAGCATTCTCATAAAACTTCTTTCCTGCAGACAGCTTCTCACCAGGTACTTCTGCCAAAGCACTAAATCTGAAGGTTGAATGGGGTGTCCCCTATTAGTGAAGCCTGTGTCCTGATCCAAAGCCCAGAGCAAGATAAGTGGGAAGTGTATCACTGATTTTACTCAGTTTAAGAAAAGGACAGTAAATTCTCATTAGTGAAGACTTTGACAAAACACACGAGAAAAAAGTGTCCACAGGTTTTTCTTTTCAAATTTTCAAATCAACAATACAAAGAAACAGTGTAAAAAAATGAAGTTGTCCCTGAACACGCTTGCTTACATGTGTACTTACATACTAAATATGTTTCTACTTAGTCTTTTTGTTTTCTGCAAAGCCAGAGATTCTTAATATTAGCAAAAGGCTGTGCATGCCAACTTACAGTGTCCACCAGAACATCAGGAGATTCTAGCAATGTACCAGACAGTATAAACTCTACTAACAAATTTAGCGATTTTTCAATGACTAAAAATAGTGTGCAAAGGGAGCTTCCAAGTCAGTTACACAGCTCTGAACTTGCAGTCAGACTGATGCTTTGAGTACCCTTTGCTCCTGCTGAATTTCAGAATACTGCCTCATTTGTAGAACTGGGTTTTAAAGTTGCTATTTTGTGATGTCATAGCCTTTCTCTAGTAAAACAGATGGTATATGACAGTTTTGAGGCGAAATCTTTACTTCCCCAGGTGTGTTGTTTCTATTATTAT